GGTGGATATAGCTCGCTAGCAGCCTCGCACCGAGGACCTATCCACGTCATCATTTACCCAGAATGCTTTGCGTGGAAATAAAATGGCTCCATTCGTGTAATATATTTTTTAAAACTTTAGTTTAAAAATTATAAAAACTACATAGCCTACAGTATTTTTACAGTCTTTATTTTACAGCTAAAACAAATGTTTATGAAATAAAGTCTGTTTCAGCTAATCGTGGATCCCTTTAAAAAGTCAGCAGGTGGTTCATAAASCATCGAATCAGCCACAGAGCAGACATGCACAGCTCTAATATGTTCCTGTAGTTTTATTTTAAATAAAGAAGTTCCCTCCTGCATGTTTCAGGAGACAACGGTGAAGCAGCTGCAGTCTCCTCTTCCTCTGCCCACCACGCTGCCCCTGCTGTCAGCCTGCATCGCCCCCACCAAGACGGTCATCGCCAACCCTGTCCTCCACCTCAGCAACCACATCCAGGACATCCTCTACACCATCACCAGCATGGAGACACCGCCGCACCCTGATGTCATAGATGACCGGGTCAGGACTTTAGACCGGCTCAGGGTTTAGKCAGCAGTTTGTTCTGTGAGCAAACATTTTGTGACGTTAGCTTGTTTTCCACCCTCAGGTAAATGCCCTGCACACACTGGCAGCCTCTCTGTCTGCGTGTGTCTATCAGGCACTGTGTGACAGCCACAGTTACAGGTAACCCTGCTTCAGCAGAGCTCAGGTCCAGGTGTCCTGGCTGTGGTTAGGCTCACCTTTTTTGGCCTTGTCTGGTTTTCAGCAGTCAGACGGAGGCCAACCAGTTTACAGGCATGGTGTACCAGGGCCTGCTGCTCAGTGAGAGGAAGAGACTGAGGACAGAAAGCATCGAGGAACATGTGACTCCTAACTCTGCTCCTGCTCAGTGGCCAGGTAACTGAACCCAGGCTTCTCTAAACTCTGTYGATTAGACTGGCTTCAACACTGAGCTACAATAAAACGAGAAGAACTGATTCTTCTGCTAAATGTAGGCTGATTCTGAGAGCTAAGTGATGACCGACATCTGTTACAGAAGCTGCTAAAGCTAAAAAAAGACCAGACACTAGCTGTAAAATAAAAGTGTTGAAGTAGTTTCTCAGCACAGCTAAACAAAATGTTAGCTTCACTAACTTCTAATCCGCTAATCAAGAATCTTAGTTACGCTAACGCTAAACTGATAAACAAATAAAAATTATAGGAAGCTAACGCTAACCGCTAAACCAATTTAAAAATTATGGGAAGCTAATGCTAAACCAATTTAAAAATTATGGGAAGGTAATGCTAACTTCTAAACCAATTAAAAATTATGGAAAGCTAATGCTAACCACTGAAAAAAATGAAAAATTATAGGAAGCTAATGCTAACCACTAAAAAATTTTTTAAATTATGAAAAGCTAATGCTAACCACTAAAAAATTTTTTAAATTATGAAAAGCTAATGCTAACCGCTAAACAAATTAAAAATGATGGGAAGCTAAGGCTAACTGCTAAACCAATTAAAAATTATGGGAAGCTAATGCTAATCGCTAAACAAATTAAAAATGATGGGAAGCTAATGCTAACCGCTAAACAAATTAAAAATGATGGGAAGCTAAGGCTAACTGCTAAACCAATTAAAAATTATGGGAAGCTAAGGCTAACTGCTAAACCAATTAAAAATTATGGGAAGCTAAGGCTAACTGCTAAACCAATTAAAAATTATGGGAAGCTAATGCTAAATGCTAAACAAATTATAAATTATTGGAAGCTAATGCTAATCACTAAAAAAATGAAAAATTATGGGAAGCTAATGCTAACTGCTAAAACGACTGTCCCTCAGTAGCTGTCACACTTCTTCGTCTCCTTCCAGTTGAGAACTTTTGGATTTTTCACAGCAGCTCGTTTTTATAAAGATTGTTGAAGAGTAAAACCCTGTGTTTGTAAAATGTGTCGCTTTGTGCAGAGCATAAAAAAATGATTTAAAAACACACAGTTTCTGGCTGGAATATACAGAAGAATATTAGAAC